GAAAACAACAACAAAACTTAGGAGTAGTTTGGATGCTATGGTAGCTCAAACTCCTGTCACATATCAAATTTTTAGATGAAAATAACAAAAGTGGTTACAGTAGATTGGAAAGTGCAATACATGTACCATCAATACTTAACATCTTCGCTATGATCAAAGTAAAACTTTCAAGGAATCCAAAAGCACTGCATTAAACAGTTAATCACTAAAACCAATTTACATTTGAATATTTGAATATTAGTCTAATAACGTATTCACATCTAAAAGTTCTATTTTATTTCTGCAGGCAATAGCGTAATATGTGCATCTGTTGAAATCAAAAGTCATGATTGTCTTCAAATTTTTGAATTTTTTTTTTCAGGGGTGGTGTATGTGAGCTTTGAGGAAGATGATGAAGGATTCATTTATATCATAGCTCACCCTGATAAAAGGGCTCTTGAAAACCAAGAACCCAGCACTCGATGTAGCTCTTCTGATAGTGATAGTAGTGAAGATAATGAAGTTGTTGACTCTCATAAGAGAAGATCTCTTAGAGAATCTCATTTAGAAAGCATACAGAAAAGACCTCACAGGTAACCATAGCAACATCAGCAATTTCTTTAGAGCCTTGCAATCTGATTCATTCCCCAAATTTTACTGATAGCCTATCATTTGAGCTGGTTGATCAGGTTTAGCTTTTCAGTCATTTACATATCTCAAACTCATCATTATTAAATGTATAAGCTCAACAATGATCTAGTTGGAATCCAGATCCCCTTACTCACCATTCCATTAGCGTTTCCCTCAATTTATTGAGGACCATAAGTTTAAAATCTTTTAAATTTGAGAAGCCAGATCAAAAACTAGCTGCTTCATATTTCATTTGGGGTTCCAAACACCTCAAACTGTCTCAGTTATTTTCCTTACCATTATTAATATATTAATATTTAAATTTGTTCAGTAGGGACTTAATATAAGAGTGTGAAGAACCAAAGTACTTTTCTATAAGTCCTCTTCCTTCAGCTTCTCAGTGATTAGAACCCCTAATAAAACACTTACACTTCTTTTTAATCTGACAAATTTATTACAATAATCTATTATATAACTAAAAAATCATGTTTGCAATCTACAGAGTTCGGTTACGGAGTGGTAAAATAGAACTGGTTGGTTGCCGGAAGGATGGGTTGTTTGAAGCAGAAGATATGCCAGAACAAACTCGTAAGTTAACAATATGACTTGGTGAGGAGTTTTGTACAGCGTTTGCAATAATAATCCGGGGGAGAATTTTAGGGATTATTGTGACATCAATGTTGCTTTTGTACGATCTTTTTACTTCTTCAGGGCTGCCTGGGCTGCCTGGGCTGTCTGGGCAGTTTTTGGATTTACTTACAAGACCCTTTCATCATGGTATTATATGTTGTCAGTTTATTTAACATATAAATTACAATGAATAACAATATTAACGGTGCAAATAACAATTCAATAGAATATAATACAATTTAACCTAAGTTCACCTTCTAAAAACATAAAACTAAAGGCTGCTTATTTACTAAAAAGGTAATATGTATACCAATGCATAAACAACCCTTATTAATTCTTAAATTATGTTCTGACTAGTAGTTAATCAAATGCTCTAAAATCAAATGCTCTAAAAGGCATTTGAAAGCATGAAAATATTGGGCATATTTAGGCATCTTGCAATGAATTAGATTTTCAGCAATCAGAGGGAGGAGGACATTTCTAATTTCAGTTGCTTTACCTCCAGACATTAAAGCTGGCATCCTAAGACAAGCACCAGCACTGATAAGCAATTGCCCTACTTCACTATGACATCACATCAAAATAATCTTCAACAATCTATTGTTTAAACGCAAAGGATCATGGTCGTCGGACGGGGTCAAATCAACGCAAACTAACCGAAAATTGTTCTAAATCCCGTATCATTCCACGAAGAGAAGTAGAATAGCCAGCAAACGCTCAGAATATTTTTAGTACATATTAACACATATTATATCTGAAAACCAGGCCATTTTAGATCAAACTGTTTTGCTAGGAGCTAATTTTGTTGAATTTTCTATTGGATTTGGCGATTCTATCCCCCACATAAACAAGCAGTGACGTCATAGTGAATTAGGTCAATTGGCTCCTCCATAAACCTGATTGTTTTTAAATTTCTGATAATTCTCTTGAGTATTATTCTTATGTTAACTTGCTTTCACTCTCTAACTGCCTTATGAGCCTATGAATTGAGTACTGAGTGTACAATTTTCTTTTATCATAAAAGTGAAAAAGAGTTATAAAATTATTTGACATATTGCTATTTATACAAACAGGTCTGCGTCTTATGTAAGATGCATCTTAACTTAGAACAGCATGTAATCCTGCTCTTACATAAGATGCATTTTATTCAAAAATAAGACATAAACTCAAATTTTGTTCGGTTGATATGGTTAGTTACCTCTTAGTTAGGTGCCTCTTATTTTCCCTTTATAAATGGCCCTAATAATCCTTTTGAAAGTCTGAAATGACTCATTTAGTTTGATTTAGTTTGATCAGGTTTGAGCCGGATTGTTGTTTATTTTGAAATGAACATGAGCAGTGCTTAAGGACGGTGCCTACCAATTGAGAATCAATTATTTTTTTAAATGATTATGTGAATTGTTTTAACCTATGAAAAAGTTTTTAAATTCTGGTTAGAAAAGTAGGGGTCACCATGCATTTAAAAGAAATAATAAAGCTTAAAAATCATTAAAAAGGGATGATATGATTTTATTAACACCAGAAAGCCAAGGCTAATTTGGCATTTACTTTATAATTTAAACAAAGAAAAAAAGGGGTATCCAGGCATTTTGAAGAGATACGAATTTTTAAAGATAATTATTGGGGATAAATGAACCGAATGCTTGACAAGTGTTACACAGCATACAAAACAGTGTGACAAACTCTGTTTTCTGCACGTATGCACATCACGCCAAAGCATGCTGTTTGCCTGCCATGCAATCGAAAAACACAGAGAAAAACTCGACATTTTTAAGCTTTATAGTTCCATGAAGACAATTGGATTTGAAGTAAAGTTACTATTGACTTTTTACTTTACAGCAGAAAGGAATTTCTGAAATATTTGGAATGTAATAAGATAATTTTTTGGTTTGAAAACTTTAAAGTAAAAGACAGTCTTTCATAATGAAAGTGTTAAGCGATCAAAGAAAGATTTTCAAAACTCTAAATACACACCTATGTATTAATAAATGGTAAATTTTCAATTTCATATGTATTTGTTGTTTGTTTTATTCAAGTTTCATAGGGTTAAATCTAGAGAAATGGTAATAAGCTTTATTATTGAAAGGATTTTGTTTTTAGACTTGAGTCCGTGTCCATTTATTCAAAACATGTGCCCAAAAGACTAAGATTCTTTGTCAATAATACTTGAACCTTAGCAAATTGTATCTTTATAGTGCGACTACTCCAACCAAAGCCACCTCAACAAATTTTCTACAAATCATTAAATAGTGTTTGAGTATTTAGACAACATATTAGCAGCAAATTTTGAATTTAGATATTCTTCGGTTGTTCCGGTTGGTGAAACTAAATGACGAAGAAGAGCCTGTAATATATTTTCTTCGGATATTAGTGATTTGTGTCACCAAAGATATAGAAAAATAGTAATGTGCGACTTCAAATACGACAGGAAAGCAAATTAGAAACCATTTAAAACAAAGTCTTTATGATTACAGTTTGTTTCTTCCAGACAAAGATATAATCAGGCTGACACTGTTAGATCTTATCACCATGTTGCTATGCGACAGCACGTTTATATTCAACAACAAAGGTACCGGCAGTCTTCTCAGCCTTGTAAACCTATGGATATTTGTCCAATTTGTAGCAATTCTATTGTTCAGACTCCTACTTTTGATTGGCTAATTTGTAGAAAATTTGTCGAGGTGGCTTTGGTTGGAGTAATCGCACTGTAACAAGCCTGGGTTACTTAAAATCGTTTTCTGCTTAAACTTGAAGAGGAAATTATTTCCAATAACGAGCAGTAATGGCAAAAATCGCCAAAAACTAGACCTTCGTATGAGTTTTGATCCCAATTTTCGTTTTGGGTCAACACCTTTTTTTAACAGTTAGAAACTGATGTACTATGATAAAATGCTTATTTGAAGCAGTATTTTCAATTGTACAAAAATGTTTTGTTGGATTTTTGTTTGAATGTAGCTTTGTCAGGCTTTTTTATGGAAAATGTATGGGAAATAAGCAAATGAAAGCCTAAACCTCATTTTTGATTCAAATTTTTGCTTTGGGTTAACACTTTGATTCCACTTTCATCGGTCATCTCACTTCCAAACAAGTTAAACTTTCTGAATAACAAGATTTTAGCCTTGTACAACAGCCTTTCTTCAAGAAAATAGTTTTTGGTGCTCACCGCTTGAATACGAAAAGAATTCTCTCTTAATTGAAAATAAATGCTTTGTTTCGTACACCTTCGAATAATACATTTTGAAATTCCTCAAATGGAAATGTGTGCATGGAAAATAGTATACTCCGTCCTTAAAATATTCTTTGCCTTGCTGGTCATTTTGACCAGTAACGTGAACCAGAAACAAAGTTAGACTGAGCTAAAATTAATTTGGCTGGCCATCATGACTGCCGCTTACCGCCCATTATTTTAAGCCTTTATGAGTCACTTTATCCTGCACTATTTTAAAAGTTACTAAGATCCATTAAGTACCATTGTATTCAATTTTTTCTTTCATTTCTTTTCTTACAGAGAGTGTAGCAAACCCTTGGAGCCTGCATTGTCATAAACAACAGCTTTCAAAACTTTCTAAAACAGCAAAAATACAAAGTATCCTTTTATGTTATATCATATCTGTTGTGTCAGCTATGAAGTCAATAAACAATACAACTGAACTTTATACAGGTCATCTTACAGTCATACATGAAAGTTAGTGGACATATTTATTTGTCTGATGATTTTTAATAGACCGTTTTTGGATTATTCACACGCTGCTGCCTTTCTTGATCACAGGCTCATTCGTAAAGGCCTCATTTCAGAGTCCTGAAAGAATGTACAACTTCAACGATACAAACACGTTGAAATTCCACAGACTTTGGCTGAAATACATGAATATTCAAAATAGTTCTATACGCAATCAAGGCTAACCCTGTATAACAGAGAATTCAAAACTGGAGTATTGTAAGATCTTTTTTTTTTTTTACCAGCTGAATCGTTTTCAGTAAATATTGGATCCACAGTAATTGGTTTCTCCATGGGTAAAGTTAAATAAAGAATTAAATGAATTTGATGGGCTGTAAATATCTGCTTATCATTATTACATAATTTTTATTGTGCACAGTTAATTGCTTTAACCTTGCTTTAGAATTTATTGTGCTTGAAAATGTCGCTTATCAATTCTCATATCCTTGTATTCTGGACCTGAAGATGGGTACCAGACAGCATGGAGATGACACACCTGTAGACAAAAGAGAAAGAATCATGGCCAAGGTTGAATCTTCAACATCCAAAACATTAGGAGTCAGGGCATGTGGACTACAGGTATTAAAGACCTAAAAACAATCCTTTGTATTGTTTGGAAGGAGTTAGAAATAATTGCTCGCAGCTAGGTCTGGCACAAGTTCTTGGTTTCTAGAAAATCCAACTTTGAGAGGGCCAATGCATTTCACTATTGTCTGGCTGAAAGACCATTATATACGTTTGCATGATGGCAGCATATTACTCCCACTACCAAGATGCTTCACAAATTTTCTTTCTTATTTAAATTTGTATTCCCTCATGAGAATAGTAAGACAATTGGTGCTAATTAACTGAACAAAAAAAAGTGTGCAAGGGATTCTGGTAGTAGAAGTCAATGACGCTACCATGCAAGTCCTATTATACTAGCCTAATGCTCAAAAGATTCAACTAACTTAAAATAACAGGCAGTCATCAAACGATGTCTGGCCAGAATTGGATTTTTTTCATGTCAAATTTAATGTTAAGCCAGATATAAAGCATGCGGGGGTTGGCATAACACGAGAGAAGTGTTAGAAGAAGCATGACGCGTAGATTGTTTTTAAGGACTATCGTTTCCTTATTTTAGGTATATCAACAGAATTCAGGCAGATACATGTGCAGAAACAAGTACTATGGCTTGAAACTCACTGAGGAAGGATTTAAAAGAGAGCTTACTACATTCTTACACAGTGGTCTTCGTCTGCGTACGGAACTAATAGACCCTTTAATTCATAAACTTAGAAAACTTTACAGAATTATAGAAAAGCTAAATACATATCGCTTTTACTCCAGTTCACTTCTATTAATGTATGAAGGAAAGGAAGAATTGGACAGCCCATCTTCTCACAAACTCAGGGAAAGTGAGTGTGGATCTTCTACAGAGTCTGATGAAAAGTTTCACTTGCAGAAGAGTCAGTCATCTCCAAATTTAAGAGGCATGCGACGACCCAAAGTTGATGTACGTATGATTGACTTTGCACACACCACATATAGTGGGTGTCCACAGGATCGACTACGAACAGGGCCTGACAATGGTTACATGTTTGGAATTGAAAATCTCATCCGATTATTAGAAGAAATCAAAAGAAATCATACTGATGATTCTGAATGTAAGAATTAATGGTAGACCAGGTTAGTACACTGTAAAATATTTTAGGAATATCTAGAACCATTGATGATCATAATTATGGAACCAAGAATACATGCAGAATTTGAAACATAGTCAAAATAAGTCATTTGTGATCATCATTCTAAGAAAAAAAACTTAATACAAAGACATGACCATCATGTTGGAACTTGCCCTTACAAAAGAACAACTGAACATTGGTTAAACTCAACTAACATCTATGGCAGCTTTGATCTCACATACTTCTACTTAGATCTTATTAACCGACCGGGAGGTCTGTACGGGATAATCTTGACCGAGGTCGGAATGTACAGACCTCGGTCAAGATTATCCCTTACAGACCGACCAAGCTCGGTTGATAAGAGTTTTATTATATGACCACTTTTCATTGAAAAGGACAAAATGTTTTCACCGTAAGATTAATATGCGATCAGACCGGTTAATACCGGAGAATCTAGACCAGTCCGCGATGCGATCTATCCAATCAGATTGCTCGATTTGCTAGTGTCCAGGCTCTAAGATTCACAGTCATATATTAAAATAGAAAATAGAACCAGTCTGTTGTTACAGAAATACTTTTGATTGATGATTAAAGTTGATTGCAGCTGGCCATAGAAATTTCCAATTGATAAAAACTTTTAATGCAAGCAATTTAATTTCTCTATTGTCAATTCTAATGTTTTAAAACTAGAGTGCAAACAATATAACCGTGAAACTTTAGTAATACTAAATAGCACAATTTCATGCAAATTCCATTGTTTCTATTGTTTAATTAGCGATATTTTGTACTATTTAGTAATTAGTGTTTCATGGATTAATTGTTTGCACTCTATGATATCAAATTCTACCCTTAATTAGGTTATTGTTCAAAGTGGAATAATGATCAGTGCAATATGTACTGGTCTTTAAACAGTCATTCATTCAGTTGCCATCTGTCAATCAAATGGTCATCATTAAGCTCTAATCAATCACTAAAAATATGACTACTACTTATAATAATAATATTAATATCATTTTACTAATCGTCAAGAAAACTGATCATTTGATGACTGTTTAGGCTGTTAAGGTTCAACTGTATTGGTCATGGTTCAGTGATATCAAATATAATTTAATACATCATTTGCCCTTATGGAAGAAAGGAAATACCTAATACAGTAGGTTAAAGGTAGTTACAGTGCGGATACTCTAACCATGAACACTTCGAGGTTTTTTTGACATTTTTTCAACATTTTTCAAACTTTATTTAATGCGTTATCCAATCACGACAATCGTTAGGARTTCTATTTTTAGCTTTCTCATGGGAACTACTGAAAAACTAAATCACATCAATTATATCGTGTGTTCTGATTGGATGATGCCTAAAAGTCGTTTCATTCCTTTGAAGAAGGAGATTGCTGATTGGATAGTTGTAAAAATGTAGAAAAAATGTCAAAAAAAACCTTGAAGTGTTCATGGTTAGAGTGTCCGCACTGTAAAAGTGTCCATCTTTGCTGGTTTAAAGGTGTAAAATATGGATTTGACTGACATTATGTATAATTATAAATATTGATCCATATTATTCAAAATTAATGGAACACGTACAGCATGAAATTTCTGAACAAATACCAAAGAAACTATCATATTAAAAGGAGAAGATTTTGAATGACTGTGAAAATCCATAGGAATGAGAGTCTCATCTGGCTTCCATTGATTTAGGATTAGTTTTCACAGGCACAAAAAAGGTTAAATTCTCAGGGCAAAAGTATGGCCGTCATATGATAAAGGTCTATTAGTGTCGTGAATTGATTGATTGATTGATTAACTATTGTTTAAATCAATACTGGCTGACATATCAGGTGTTGATGGTTTAGTACAGTGATTGTGCTGACACTTAAACACAGTTCAAGGAAAAGTCATGAGAACCAGTCATGCATATGTAATTCAGAGTTATTCTTCAGCTGGTAATATATACATATATTGATAATAGATACACTTTAGATTAATATCCAGCTTAATGTATAAAGTTTAATTGCAAAGTGAAAACATAGCTACAGTAGAAATAGAAAGCATATACCATATGTATGAGCATATTTTAAACATCCACATTGCAAATAGTCTGTCCTACGCAGCCTGTATTAGGTGCCGTAACACAATGCTAAGCTGAGTGAGGGTTGCATGAGGACACCAATAGCAGCTGCATAGGAGACTACATCAAAAAGGAGCCATTCACTCATATAATTTCAGAATTCCTTTTTCATCTAATTTTTCATTGTATAAGAAAGACAAATTAAGTGTAAATATTCCATAAACTATAAATAGATTTGTATGTATTTTTAAATTGCACAGTTCAATATGATCAGTTTATGCTTTTTATCTTGATCCACAATATCTAAGGCTAATTATTTCATTTTATTTCCTTTCATTTGATTTTTTTTCTTTATGAGAAAGATTGATAATAGAGTGGTTTTCCTAAACCCACGCAATGAAACGAATGTGTACTAATTAGTGTGTTATAGTCAGATATACACAATAGAAAACAAAAGAATTGGAGTGTAATAGTACTTAATAAGCTAAAGCGTATTTCATGGGTTTATGATAACCACTATCTGGTTAATAATTGATTTTGTTTTCTTGTTAAAACAAGCTATAATCTTTACGCTTCTCAGCAATTTCAATAAAATTAACTGTAAAGCTTTTGTGAAATGTAAATATAAAGACTTTATTATTAACTGTTATTTAGAAAGGTCAGGTTAAAGCTCTTTCATGGCCATCACCAAAGAAAAGGATTATTGATTATCCATCCTGATAGCTATACTTATATATATATACTTAATTAAAAAGAAATCTTGTAGAGAATGACATGGTATATCGCTTAAAGTGCAAATGACACGGAAAAAAATTAAGGTTAAAAATGTGTAGTTTGTTGTCATTAATAAGAATATCACGCTTAAATTTGTTTCAAAAACGTGTTTCTCTAGAAATTAAGAAAATTTAGCACAAGTTGTGACGTCATTTTGTTTACAAGTCTCCAGATTTAGTTGCAAATACACGAAATATGTTTGAATGTAGAATCTTAATTTCAGGTAGTATACTTTTCAGTTTCCCAACATTTGAAGAGCATCGAATGAAGCTGAATAAAATATGCCTTTTGTTTTTATTTTATACGAATTACAATTTTATTTAGTGAATTACTACCAAATCTAGAGTACATGTCAGAAAAATGACGTCACAAATTGTGATTCATTTTCTCACATATCAAGAAATGAGTTTTTGAAACAAATTTCTTTACGATATATTTATTATTACTAACAAACTATACATTTTAAACGAAATATTTTCGTGTCATATACACTTTAATGTATGAAATCAAAGCCACATAGATTAATCTAGGTGAAGGAAAGAGTGAAGGCATTTAACCCATGAAATAGGTATTAGACTAACACGCTTTAGTAGACCTTAACTCCATTGTTTTCGTTTGTGCCTATTTGACTATCACACGTTGACTAATATTTTTTTATTTCACGGGTTAAATGCTTTTACTCTATAAAAACCCAAATATCAAATTATGAATATCACATATGTATACATTAAATCAATTTACTTATTTGCTAATCAGACAGAGAACTTCAGTTTGTCAAAACCTTTGAAACTCAGGATTCTAATCTTTATACACTATAAGCAGTAGCCTATCCCACCTAGTTGGGAAGATTTTTGGGGAGATGATTTCTGGTTAAATTTGAGACAAGACTAGTTTCATGTACCAAAGAAAAGACAAGGTCAATCTTTAGTTGGTTTAGAAAGATGCTTAGTGATTTTGAATAGTTAGATCCATGCTAGTTACAGTAGCACACAGGCTGAGGGCAGAAAGCGACATACAATTTTACCTTGTCTTATCTCTTCCTCTGTGTTCCTCTTTGGACCAATAGAGTGCACGCCATATATCCCGCGTGAAACAATTACTAGCCATGTAGCGCTTAAAAATATTCAGTTAGAGTGATTTTACTTCGCCCGTGAAACAAAGTTGTATTTGGTGACTAAGACTAAGGTCAAACGTCGAACTTCGCATGAGCCGAACCTAAAATAACAAGGCGGTCTCCTTTGATGTCATTGGGTTCGGCTCATGTGAAGTTCGACGTTTGACCTTAGTCTTACAGTCAAAGTAAAACAAAAGAAAACAATTTAGATATTTGTGTCTACTATGTATTATGTGACGATTTCACGGGCGAAGTAAAGTCACTCTAGCAACTATTTAGTTGTAAAATTGCTAAGGATCCATTCATGCATGAACCAAACAAAGTTCTTTTGTTCTCCATGTTAAGCTTCAGTAATATTGACTATTTCGTACAAAATAGCTGCGAAATAGTTGAAATTAGACAATACATGTTTTGTTTTGTTTGACGTGTATATATGGCGTGCAGTCTAATCATAATTTCTATTAGATAACAAGAATTATAAAATAACTGCTATAAATCTCGCGTTCTGATTGGTTGGGAACGCGTGCTTTATGAGAGCACACAGCACGCGCTCGCACTTTCAGTTGCGCCATTCCTAACCAAGATAAAGACTATTGTGATTTATATTTCATAAAAGAAATAAAAAACTTGATTGCTGTGCTGTGTGCAGTTATAAAGCACTTGGGGATTGGCAGAACACTCGAGAAGTGTTGAGAAGCACTCCGCTAAGCGTCGTACTTCTCCTGACACTTCTCTCGTGTTCTGTCAACACCCGCGCGCTTTATACTGCACACAGCACGCGCGCGCGTTTTCTATTTCTTCACAACCTCAAGTAAACCATACCTAGATTTGATATATCATTTCTATTTGAGTTCCTCACATTATCCAATTACTGATTGCAGTTTTCTGAAAAATATCAAAGCCACAGTTAATATCTTAAGAGAATTCCAAAATTGCTATTTAGATACTTAATAATTGAAAACAAAGTTCTTTGTAATCATTTTCTGTTTAGGGGGAAATTTTCAAAACGTTCGGTTAGATAAAATGAAGATATTTATATTTAAATTTTATTGTAAGTATAATGTTGAAAAATCCAAAATTTCCGAAAAATAAAGTATATTCCTCAGTTTATTGTTTGTTTTGAATATTTACATCTATGATGATTGAAAATGTACCCTGGGGTCCAGAGTTTATCGATTATTGTCGGCGCTCCGGCATTTCCTCCACAGGGTATTGAAGATCAAGTTTTTTCCCCGAAAAAGTATTATTGATGGTGTATTTCGTTCATTTGTTTTTCCTTCCTTTCTTCCTTCCATGTCTCTTTGTCGTTATATAAATTTTTTTGTACCGAGTCAAATCGGTAGAGTGGCGTACTCGGGCCATAGAACCCCTTAGTTTTACCATATTTATGAGAGCTTATGAAGCCGATCATTTTCTTTACGCTCAGTAAAATCAAATTGGAACCCTCTTTTGTGAAAAGCCATTTTGGGACCCACTTTTTAAAATCCTGAATCTGCCGTTGTACTGTTAGTTCAATGCAAATCATTAACTCGTGAAGATGGATTTTAAAATCGACAGGCATGCGGAATGGCTTTCTTGTGAGAAACGTTCTCGGCGAGAAATTTACCGGAGAAAGCCGGTAAAAGTACTTTCCCCTGCGGACAGCTGCGAACAAAGGATCTTATCTAAGCAAGGGCGCGACAGTTGTAATTGAAAATATACCTTAAATAAGTAAAGTAACTGAAAAGAAATGATTATTTAGCCGGCATATTCCATTTTGCCAAAAAATCAATATGAATACCAACACGGAGTGTTAAGGGGAAAAAATTGATTTTATAAAACCAATTTCTAAAAATAGGATATTGGTCGTTTCTTAGCAACACCATCTAACAAGGCTAGGTTAATTGTTTTTTTGCTTTTTATTGTAACAACTTTTTACTGCAGTAATTATGTAAGCAAGATATGTTTATTCTTTCGCTTTTCTTAAGGTGCCTGACTACTTTGGTTAATTATAAACAGAAAATTGAAAATCGAAACTTTTTAAACCTAATATTTAATGCTGATTTCAAAAATGCAAAGAAAAATGGGGGTGTCCCGAGCTTGTTTTTGAGATAATCACTCCGGAAAGACATGCGTTTGTAAGATTTTGGAAGAAAAATAGCGAAAATCAAGCGCTGTACAAAAAAGAAATCATCAAAACGAAACTAAGGAAGAAACACGAGTAATTTTCTCCGAACACGTAACTTACACTATATTTATAAAATACTAATAAAAGTTGTCTTAATAAACTATCTTAGACAATGGGAAAACGTTTTTGTTCAGGTTCTACGGTGTGTAAATTATAGTAAAAATTGAGCACAAAATAAACATAAGGATTTTTTACATTGTTCTAATAAACAGAATTGCTTTAAACTTTGGAAAATAATGGGATATTTCCTGTTATTCCGGAAAATAACAAAAAATATATAGAGTCCCGAGCAAAATTTGAGGGTTTTGCCCTCTTGAAGTTCAAAACGTGTATGGTTCTTCAATAAAATCGCGAAGATTATTCAGCGGTTTTTGTGCGCGCGCACATCGTGGGCCGGCTCAAATCGAATGTTGAAAAGTAGTCGGCCACCTTAAACCCTATTAAAATGAACCCTGAATTAAAGCTTGGATAAAGCTTTTGAATTTAGCTGAATTTGAAAATAATGCACTGCCATGGATTTTCTCTAAGATTCACTTTTTTATTGAGCTATAAAGATTGTTCGTTTGAAATGATAGGCAAGTTTCAATTGTTATAGGGAAACAAATATCTATTTATGGACAAACACATGACATTCTTTAATCACGAAGTTTACCTACAATCTGACCTACGAGATGAATTTGTGTTTTGAAAATGAAGAGCCAATTGAAGGCGAAATGAAGCGCCAAATTATTGTCCAAAACTAATTATGACTAATCTGACCACGGAGATTTTATTGTGAGGCAGCTGCAACTATTACATTGACTGAAATTGCAACAAGCCACTGCATATCTCATAGGAAGTTCCCTGATTTTATTTTCATAAAAGACATTGCTGCACTAATTCGATAAGGACCAAGGCTGGTTTCTCGTTTGTCTCTTCAGTTCATCCAATGAAATACATTCATGAACTCAAGAAAATCCTGAAAAACTTGTTTACATCGAAGAAAGGAGAGATATTTACAGTACTGTAGATCATTTTCACGAGTATTAATCTTCTTCTCTGAATCGTTCAAGCACTTGGATTCAATAGTCTTTTGGTGGTTCTTAATCTTATTTCTATGGCTGCCACAAGTGAAAATACATCTTTGACAAATCAAAGCTCAAGTAAATTCCAAGTAGCGACAAGCGAGTTACAAAAGGGCGTCCATTCGAGTATATTGTCATTAGTTTTGCTGCTGATCATTATTGGTAACACTCTGGTACTTTTGGTTCTTTATCGTCAGCGTAAACAACTCAATCTTCGAGTGACCAACATGTTTTTAGCCAACCTTGCTGTGGTAGATTTATCAGTTGGTCTTCTCATACTGCCGTTTTCTATTTGTACTGTCATCAATGGAGGCTGGGTTTTTGGCGAGCCTTTATGCCAATTGAATGGTTTTATCAACATGACTTCCGGCGGTACTTCAATCTTGACTATGGCAGCTATAAGCATTGACAGGTAAAATTTCATCAGTGAGAGGAGTATCAGGGATCGAAAACATAGCATAAAATACTGGATCTATGAGCGATAAAGTATAATCTATCTACTAAACTGATCTAGGCTGGTAATATTTTATTCTTGGGGAACAGGGATCCAGGGCTGTCAACCCCCGAGATATTCAAATCTGGAGAATTGATAGGGAAGGGACATGACGTCACAGCGCGTCAAAAAGTGCGCGAATTGGCGTCTTTCGCTTTGTAATATTTGATGTGATTGGTTTATTTCTGACCAATTAGATTATCACTTATATTACAATGGCCTGCTTGCAAGAACAGTTTATGAGGAACGTTTTGATTTTGTTAGCGATGTAAAATAACACAAATAACATGAAATAATTGGAATTTTATGGTTGTGAAAGTCTAGTCTTACAAGACAAGAAATGGCCAGCTTCGGGGATTATCCGGGAGATTTGATACTCTAATCTGGAGACCGGGAGACAAGGTCCAAAATCTGGAGACTCCCGGTTTATCCGGGAGAGTTGACAGCCCTGGGGATCAGAGATATGCCATTTAACATGCTGTTAAACTGAAAGGCTTTTCAGAAGCCCATATATATATATAACTTATTTTGATTGGTTGTTGTTGTTGTTGTTTTGTTTTGTTTTGTTTTTTGTTTTTTTTTTTTTGTTTTTGTTTTTGTTTTTTTTTAGTACATTTAATTATTTCCTTAAGGCTTACTTTGATAAAAAGTAAAAGAAAATTTTTACTAGAAAATCGTTAATTCGGTGGAAAAAGATAAGCAGCAGATGCATTTTCGATATGTTTTGTGTAGTTAAGAAAATGGTAATCTAAAAAGGAATGTCGAGCAATAATCTTGGTACTAAATGATAATCAAACACTTTGAAACAGTCCTCTTATGAAAAGATTAACTTTCGCAACCGAGAAACTTTCTGGGCGACTTTCTACTTTTATAGCTAGAATCGATATCCTTTATAATTAGAAGTGCTATACGTACGATATTTAGGATGCCAATACTCTGTTTGTCACTTACGGTTTACTAAATAAGACGGCCCCTTCTTGGCGGAAGCATTCTAGTCGTGACATAGAAAAAATGCGTCATTTTGTTAAATTCTAGAGACAAAAAGAAAAGATCAGTTGCAAAAAGGTTGTATGTAGGAGTTGTCTGGTGACATGAGACATCATGTCATTTCCAACTAATTCGTTTGGTTTTTGTTATTCAGATACCTTGCCATCGTATCACGTACGGGAAGGAAGCTGCAAGTCAAGCAGGCCTTGGTTCTCTTGGGTGTGGTCTGGTTTTGGGGAGTTCTGACTGGTATTCTACCGGTTCTAGGTTGGAATCATTACCAATACGGCTCTTATGGAGCGGTCTGTAAAATGTCCTTTGACCACGACAAGGGGTATTTGCTGTTTGCAGCCATCGTGTGTTTTGTGGTCCCGTTGATCATCATGGTCTACTGTTATTTGCGAGTATTTCTTAAAGTGCGCAGCCATAGAAAACTAATGCAGCAATGGCGATCACCGAACCATATCAACAATAAAGAAAACAAAAGCATTAAAAGCGAGACGCGCACTGCTAAGATCGTCGTTACTGTTCTTTTCGTGTTCGCTGGTGCATGGACACCGTTTGTAATAGTCCATCTGTTACAGCTTGTCATCAATCTCCCCTCTAGTTTACTATCTATCTCAACCCTTATTGCTGGTATGCATTCATTCTGTAATCCTATTATATACACTGCCATGAACCGAAAGTTTAGAGCAGATTTGTTTAATTTACTCCCGTTTTTACGAAGGGTTGCTCAATGTTACTCGCTATGTTGTTGCTGTTGCCGAAGGCCTAACAAAGTCAACGGCTTTGTGATGGAAGCCAGTAGGAGTGGGATAGATGGGAGGTCACCGTTGACTGATCCAGTAGCGGGGGAATTAATGAATTTTCATCAACTACAAATATTTACTACAACAGGAGAGGGGAGAAAAGAAAATTTGCTGGGGGTGAAACTGGGTAAAAATACGGAAACTAGGGCTCATTCTTTTAATAGTGTTCAGACCTTGGAAGCAAGCGATGCAGACCTCTATCGTGTTATGTGAAAAATATATTTGAAATGTGAAATGTATATCAAAGAAAAATCATGAATTCCGAGGGAAACCGAATAATCAATATGAAGAATATTAAGATTAATGTATAAGTCGTGTTATGAGAGTATATGTGACTTGGATTTGTCAACAATAAAATATGTTCAAATGCTTTGAGTATATAAAGCACTCAACAACGACTACAAACAAACAACAACTATAACAAACACTTACGACAAACAACAACAAAGAAAAAGAAGATAAATATTAAGAAAAAAAGAAGATGAAGGCACAAACGAAATTAATATTAGAGGAAAAGGAAGAAAGGAATAAAGGAAAATGAGTACTAATCTGTTATAACGTTATGATAAGCATACTGAGCAGCTCAATACACATGCAAACTATCGTTTTCCATAACTTTTATTACTTACAATAATAGATTCCAAGCAAGTATATGAGCGGTAAGCTTTTCATAAATTATCAAAACTAAAAAGAACAACAATGTGACCAACACTATAAGCGTCATACGTACGTAATACAAGATAGATAAGGCATCTAACTCAATGTTAAAACTATTTCTTTATATAACCTTTTCAAGTAAATAATTTGACTTTGTCCATTTTTTAAATATCTATTTACAACAGGGTTCTTTTATTACATTGTTATCGTTACGCTGGAGTGAAATACCATTTTTTTTCCTCGAAAGACTTACCCGGGGGTCCAGAGGGTACTTATTCCTCCGCTGCGGCCTTAGTTTACTTTTAACGAGAAGTCTAAAGCGAAATCTGAGAACTCTGGGACCCAGGGTATGAAACCCTTTGCAATTTCTGTTATACATAAGAGAATCAAGGACGGTCGCGATATATATGCTGTCAGTAATAGCGGAGTGAAAATCTTAATAACAATTCAAAGCCTGACAAACTGAGTGGTAGGCTCATGCGTGATGATGAAGGGGTAAATAAGATACTAAACTGATGACTAAGAGAATTTGTAAGGATCCATGATGTCCTTATAAATTTCTGAAATAAATAGCTTTCAGCTCGCCATGAAATCAGTTTTTTCGAGAATTTCGTAATCTGCGTGACGCATTTGCGGCACAAAAGGCAATGGGTGTTAAAACCATCAGAATTTTTGTTGTGGTATTGTGATATCATAATAATAAACTTGGAAGAAACTAGTATGACGTCATCACAGAATAGAAGTTTTTTCCCAGGCTGGTCTTCCATCCACTTGTTGGGCATCGTACCCTGAAGGTCTGGATGCGTCGACTGGAGTCGCAGTGACTTCCACTTCTGGTGGATAACTTGCTCTGTATTGACGTCTGACGTATTGGCTTTCCCGGTACAGAGTTCTTGTTGTGTCTCCATTCAGCGAGTCCGTGCTGCCATCAAAGGGTCTGATGTTATAAGTAAGAGTTAATTACCGAGAACGGAGGCAATAAGCCATATACATCCCGAGTGCCGCAGGCCCGAGGGATGTATAGGCTTATTGCCGACGTTCGAGGTAATTAAGTATTTTATTTATCAATTGAGAAGGTTTTCTWTCAAAGGTTGCTCATTATAAATGCGAACGGTCTATTAACCGGGTTAATAACTATATATTGACCTCGCATTTATAACGAGGGTTATAACAAAAATAAAGCCTTGTGAATAACAAAGAAAACCGTGTCAATTGAGAAATAAAACAGAATAAACCTTAATTCAGTTTTCTGCATATTTAACGTTGTTAAAGCAGCTTACCATTAATTACAGGTCGCTGCACGGAAATGATTAAAATAAGCGCAAAAATGCCGTAAAGCTGTCAGTTACATGCCTGCCATCAAGAAAGCCTAGCCCTGGTGCTGTAACACCGGCTCATTTCTTTTTTTGAAATTCGCCCCAATCCCAAACCTTTGCATGAATCAAAGTAACGAATAGTCCTGCAGTGATGGTTTTGGCTGTCCTGCGTGATAATATTCCAAACTCAATAGGGCCCTTGCGCATTGACACCCCTACCCCATTATATTATTTTCGACTTACCTTGGTGACAAAGACTCCCTACTAGTTCCCCCATAGGGTAGTCTTGTAGGGCTTGTCAATGCTTCTCTGCTGCTGGACCTTGAGCTTGGTCTAGAGTCAGGACGTCGGCGAACTTCCAAATTTCCTTGTATCATGTTCTTGGGAATCCTTGGCGATTGTGCTTCTTTGATAGTTGTTTGAAATTCCTTGATCTTGGATTCATTTTTCTCATTTGTTTCTTGTGCGAGGTATATTTCTTTCTTAAGCTTTTCAATCTCCTTTTCTAACGCTTCGTTTTTTAGTCGAAGGTTCATGATATCTTGGTCTTTCTCTCCCACAGCTTTGGTTTTAAGCTCTAGCTCAATGGTTGCAGTTCTTAGCTCCTTCTCAAGGCGGATAATCTTTTCCTGCTTCTTGAGGAGGTCTTTGTTGGACTTCTCGAGCTGATCTTGGGTGGTTTGTTTGTCTTTGCAAGCTTTCTGTAAATCAAACTCAAGCCTTGAGACCTTTTCACGTGCAACTTGCATGTTTTTGGTTGCTTGTTCAAGGGCGCCTGAACTTTGTCGGTTAACATTTTCTTGGTCCATTAACTTTTCTTTAACCTTTTGTAGTTCTCTTTGCAGTTCATCACGTTGTTTTTCAAGCATATCTTTTTCTCGTTCGGCTGACTGTTTCTTCTGCTTCAAGGAGTCAAGTTCTTCACGATGGCCTTCCTCGTTTGTAGCCCTATTTGACTTCAGCTTGTAATTTTCAACCTTGCTCTTGTCATTCTCTGTAACCAAAGTCTTGATTTCCTTTTCCTTTTCTTCGATATATCGCTTAACATTTGTACATTCTGTTTCAAGGGTCGTGGTCTTTGTGCGCATCTGTTCCACAATTGATGTTTTTTCAACAGCTTCTCTTCTATAACTCTCACTTTTACTCTGCAGCTCCATAATTCGACGATTAAATTCTTTAGCTTCTTCCTCTTTCTTGGTTCTTTCCATAGAAAGTTTGTCTTGTAAAGCTTCTTTCTCGAGCTTTTCCTCGTTGAACTGTCGTTCCATTTTAGAAAGGTTATCTTTCATTTCTTCAAGTTCTAGTTTCATTTCATTTTTGTCGTGTTCGTCTGTCTTGTTATCTGCTGCTCCCGCTAGCTTTTCGTGTAGAACAGAGAGTTCTTCTTCCATTTGGCTTTGTATGGAACGACTGCTTTCGTAACTAGCTTCAAGCTCTGATATACGCTTTTGATAAACCACTACTTCTTCTTTCAGTTTGGCAGCTTTATATTCCACTGAATGGCAGGTTGACTGAAGAGTTTCAATCCTTTCGCGGTTCGATTTTTGCTCGTGTTCGAAATTGGATAACTTCTTATGAGCTTCCAGGACTTCATTCTGGAGCTCCTTTTCGCGGGTTTGACTTTTCTTGAGCGTTTGCTCCAAACTGGATAACTTTTGCCCTGATACTCCGCCAGGTTTTCTTTTTTCTGACTTCAATATCTCATAATCTGCTTCTAACTGCAGCAACTTCTTTACTGTCTCCTTACTATCTCGTGTAACTTTGTCCTTCTCTTTGACGGCGGATTCCAGCAAGGCTTGCAATTCTACATTTTTTTGTTCAAACATATCTATTTCATTTTTGAGGGTATTGCGTTCAGATGTCAATTCCTTCTTTGCTCGCTCCAAATCTGAGTTTGCTTTCCGTAGCCCGAGTAAACTCTCGCTAAGGCTCGCTTTCTCTTGTTGAAATATTTCATTAGCATTCTTTTGCGCGATGACTTTCCGATTCAGAGTCGACACCTCATCTAAAAGACGGTCTCTTTCTTCCCTCAAGGCATTATTTTCAAAATTGTTATCTGGAAGGGCAGTATCGACTTCGTCCATTCTTTGGACAGTTATCATCTCCTGTGTCATGGAGTTATTCAATGAACGTTGTTCAACAAGCTGTGCTTCGATGATCCCTAATTCAGGTTTCAAGCGGTCGATTTCATCTTGAAGGACGTTACAGTTTGTTTCCAGTTCAGTCACTTGCATCTGCAGTGTTATCTGCTCGTTCTCTGCGTCACGTTTCTCAACCAGCGCCTTCTCCAGATCTTCTTTGGTCTTCAGGAGATCCTTCTTCAAATTTTCATTCTCCGTTTGCATTGATCTGTTGTCTTTCTCTAACTTCTCAATTGCGTATTTCTTTTGAGGGAGGTTTTTGTGGTCATCTTTGGCAGCCTGCTGCTGATCCAGAAGACGGCCCTGAAGTTTAGCGATTTCTTCTTTAAGAGCATCATTTCTTGCTTTCATTTCATCAATGACGCCTCTTCTCTGTGCCTCTTGTTTTAACTGTGCTTGTAGTTCTTCTTCTAGTTGCTCAATCTTTGCTTTAGCTCCATCTAATTCACGCTGTTGCTCCTTTTTCTCCTGCAAAAGTACCTGATACGCCGAGTCTAGATCAGATATCTTTTTCTGTGCCTCCATTAACTCTCTCTCCTTGGTACTAGCGTTCTCCTCTACGTCTGCCAAAGTCCCGACCATCTCTTCGACCTTCTGTTGATATTCATACAGTTCATCATTTAGCCCTTTTACTTTCTTTTGGTAGGCTGTATTGAATGCTTCTGCGCGACTGAATCTGTTCACCGACGCTTCTACTTCCTGCTCCAATGTTGCAACTTTTTTATGCCAGGACAAAAATTCTTCCTTCCCAAATTTGTCCTTTGCCTCTAAGCTTTTTAAGATTTCTTCAAGCTCTGCTATTCTGTTACCCCTGCATTTGCTTTCGTATTGCAGTGACTCTTTCTCCTTATTACTCTCTGCCAATTCTTGTTCAAGTTTACATAATCTTGAACGAACAAGCTCTAATTCATTTTCTGCATCTTCTTTTTCCTGTTTGCAATTCTTCAGATTTGATTCCATCTCAAGAAGCAGTTTTTGATTGGCGGAATCATTCTTAGCTTTTGTCCTTTCGCTTGAATGGTCTGTTTTAACTTCTAGGCGTTTCTTTTGTATATGGCTCAGTTCTGATTGTATCTTTTTCTTTTCTCGTTCTATGGCGTCTAACCTTGCTTTCAGCTCACCATTACTCTTTTTGAGGTCCCCGATGTCACTTTTCAACTTATCTTTCTCTTCTCTCAGAGCTTCATTCTTCGCTTCGAGATGCGCAGCTTTACGACTGGCACTGATGACGTCCATTTGCATCTTGTCCATTTTCTGTACTTGTTGTGGGCTTTTAACCCCAGAAGAAGATGACGACACATTAGCAGCTGAAATTTCCTGTTGTAGCTTTTCGATTTCTCGTTTAGCAGCCATAAGATTGTATTCCAACTCATACATCTTAGCGTCTCGATCTTCTATTGCTTTCTCAAGGCTCGAAATGGTTTGTTCAGCACTTTCGTATTCGTCTTTATAATTCTGCAGTTTTGTTCTTAGTACCCGAATCTCATCTTCAAATGCGCTCTCGCGTGACTTCAGCCATTCGATCTGATTTTCTTTCTCGATCTGGTCTTTTCTTAAAGAGTCCAAGTTGCCTCTCAAGTCCATGTTTTGTTTTTGAATGCCCACATTCTCTTCTTTACTTCTAGCTAGAGCACTTTTCTTTTCTTCGAGTTCTGCTCGAATGTTTGTCTGCTCTCTAAAAACTCGCTGTAACTCTTCCTCTGCATCTGCAATCTTCATTTGCTGTTCAATCAAATCCTTTTGCATTTCTTTATTTTCGAGTTTGCTTGATTGCAGCTTTGATTCGTAATCTGCAAGTTCCCGCTTCATCTCAAAACGGTCGTTGTCGCTCTCATCTCTCTTTCTAATTGCATCATTGATTGAACCATGGATACTGTTCAGCTCTTCTCGAAGGCCCTGCACCTCTCTTTCTAATGCCTTCTTTTCTTTTTGCATCCCCTCTATTAGGCTGTCTTTCCCGCCAACATCTTTTGTGTGCTGCTCCCAAAGGGTCTGATATTCTTGCAGCTTGCGCCTTACTTGAAGCAGCTCTTCCTCACTCCTCGCGAGATTCTTGGAAACGTCTTCAACTTGTTGCTCGCTTTGATTTTTAGATTTCAAGGCGCGTTCTAACTGCAGTTCAAGCTTAGAATCCTTCTCTTCTGCTTCCTTCAAGTCATTTGTCAAGCTTTGAATTTCATTCATAGCGGAATCGTAGCTCTCTTTCAATGGCGTGAGTTCTTTTTGCATAAATGCAAGCTCGTTTTCAAGTTCTTTCTTTTTTTCCTGTAATGTCTCTTCGCTTGATTCCAGCCGCGATAAGTTCACGTAGATTTCCAGAAGTTTTTCTTGCATCCCTTGTTCTCGCTCTTCGCTGATTTTGAATGCTGATTCCATCTCAGCAATTTTACGCTTGGCTAATGACAGCTCTTCTTCAATGAAGTAACGATCATCGCTCGCAATGCTACCCATACTACCCCAGCTACTCTCCAGAATTGATGACTTTTCAGTAGAAACTCTTTCTTCCACTTGTTTCCTCTTGACTGACTTGTTTTGGTCGGCTTCTTTTCTCCTCAAGTTACGTTTTGCGCCTTCTATTTCACTCTCCAGCGCTGCATTGGTTTGTCGAAGGTTTTCGATCTCGATTGTTTTATTTTCTACATTCTTTTTAGCCTTAGCGAGCAAGGCCTTCAACTCGTTTATTTCTTGCTCAAGTTTAGAATTATCGTTTTGTAGCCTGTTAACATTGTCCTTCCAATCTTCCAGTTTGTCATTCAAGACATTGTTCTGTCTTTCACTATCAGCCAACTGTTGCTCCATGTTTGAGATCTTTGATAAAAGAGCTCGCAAATCCTCTTGCGCCCTGTCTCTTTCGTAGCTTGTCTTCTGTACACGAGCCTCGGATTCAGATAAAGCATCTTTGGCTTTCAAAATTTCATCTTGTAATTGAAGCAAATCTTGTTTTCTCTTTTCACCGTCTTCACGACTTTGGACCAGGCTTGTCTTCAAGGAATGATTCTGTTCTTCAAAATACGCCTTCGCAGACTTCAGTTGGTCAGCGATTTCATCCTTTTCTTTCAATTCTTTTTTGATGGCCTCGAGTGTTATTCGGTTTTCTATTGAGTGCTGTTCTAATTTCAGAAACTCCTCCCTGCTTGTGTTATAGCGGTTCTCGCTGTCATCGAGTTGTGTCAACAAGGCAACTCTTTCCTTACATTCATGCTCAAAGCGAACTTCAAGGTCTGACTCTCTCGACTGGGATTTCAAAAGTCCTTCTTTAAGCTCCTTTTTCTCGCTTTCAAATCTTTCTTTTGCAGAAACGAGGTCTTCTATTCTCTTCTTAAGCATTTTGTTCTCGTGTTGATATTCAATATTTTGTTGCTGAGTTTGTTTGTGATCATCTTCAAGCTTGACAATTTTTTTCTTGGCCACTTGTAATTCTTGCTTTAGTTTATCTCCCCCACTCTCTCTAGTTCCACCGTTAGATTGCCCAGTTTCAAAGGCTTGTTCTGGGTCGCATTCACTTATCGTAGCCTCCATTACTTCCAGTTTACTGTTTGTAAAGTTTGCCATAGTGCTCTCCATTTGACCCAACTGGTTGCAAACTTCATCAATTTGAGATGAGAGTTCCTTATTTTTTTCTTCCAGAACTTCGTTGTTCCATTTTAGATTTTCAAGCTCTTTTTTGGTGTTCAAAAAATCCTGTTCCAATGCAAGCTTTCCATTCTTCAGCCATTCTATAGAGTTTTCCTTCTCGGTCAGTTCTCTTTGCTGTGTGTCACATTGCCTGTCTTTCTCACGTAAATCACTTTGGAGATTGATCAACTCTTCTTTCATTTTCCTGTTCTCTCCCTGTAGGTTTGTGCACTCATTCTTGAAGTGCTCCTTGTCCTTAAGAGCATTTACCAACTGGGTTTCGGTAGAGCTGACTTTCAAGAGCAGTCCGCTGATTTCCTGTTCCATGGAGCCTTTGCCATCCCGAATCCTACGAAGCTCCTTCTCTCCTTCTTCGACTTTTATTAGCATGGAAGCTAGCCGCTTCATAAGCTCTTTCTTTTCGGCATCTAGACCTTCAGAACCAACTTTAAAGGTGATAAGATCCTGGTTATTGTTATTCAGATCTCTTCTAAGTGTTTTCAGTTGTTCGTTAAGGTCTTCGATTAGCATGTCTTTTTTACTTATTGTCTTTGTCATGGTCTCGTTCATCTTTCTCGCCTCCAACAACTGGCTTTCTAGATTCATGATCTTTTCTTTGGCATCAATCAATTTTCTGTTGGCCTCATCAAGTTGATCTTTGACTTGAAGCTTGTGTCTTTGGATTGTCTCGATCTGTGATTCAAGCTTAGCTATACGCCCTCGCACGCTGTACAGCTCATCTTCGGCTGCTTCTTTGTTCCTGACAGCGGCATCAACTTCTTCCTCGAAATCAGCCAGTTTTGATTCAATAAACACGATCTTCTGTGTCTTTTCAACATTTTCATTGGTCAGTCTTTCGATTTCAAGTTTCTGAGCGGACAGTCTTTGTTCAGACTCTTCGACTTCAGCCTCTAATTCCTCTTTGTCTTTCTTGGATATATTATACATCGATTCCAGCTCAGCTATTCTTTTACGATAGCTGGAAGCATCACGTTGCAGTTCACTGAGTTTGCCTCTCATTATTTCTAGTTCTCGCCTTGAATTCGTGTCCCCATCTTTCTTGCTTAAATTCTCGACAGAATTCATCCTCTTGATCGCCAAACTATGATTCAACTCTAGCTGTTCACGTTCTCTGTTTGTTGTTTCAAACAAATGGTCCAATCTTGTAATTTCATCGCCTTGTCTTGCGAGTTCTTCCTGAAGATGTCTTTTCTCGTCTTCGTAACTTTCTACAAGGCTTCTCTCGCGAGAAATTTCATTCTTTGAGTTATCGAGGTCCTTAGAAAGCACCATTACTTTGTCTTTTAACTGTTCGATAATGGCGTCCTTTTCGTTTGCTTCTCTCTTGAATTCCTCTAAAATCATTTGAGTTTCCACTAGTTGGGTTTTTATCACGTCTACATTGTCTATGCTGGACCGAGACTCGCCTTCGTAGCTTGCTAAGCGTTCTTCGAGCAGAGCTTTCTCAGTCATCATCTCTCTTAGCTCTTTCTCTTGTCTGTCGAGCTTTTGTTCCAGTCCCATTACCTGCTGTTGGTAATCGTTTTTCGTTTTGTCACACAAAGAATGAGCAGCTTGCAGTTCTGAAATCGTTTTGTGATATCCATGAATCTCACCATTTGCCAAGTCTCTTTCTTCGTTGGCAACTTTGCAGTCAGACTCAACTTCCATCAAAGTTTGTTGAAGTCGGAGCATTTCTTCGTGTAAACTCTTCTTTTCGTCTTCCAAAATTTCTATCTGCGTTTGAAGTTTATTGTTCTCGTCGTAGAATGGATCGAATTTTCCTTCCATTGCTCCAATATTCGCTCTCAAATCGGTAATTGTCTTTTCTTTGGATGCTGCATCTTTTCTGTAACGTTCGAGCGATCGTTTTGCCTCCACTGCCTCATTTTGAGCAACCAAAATCTCCCTCCTTATTTTTGCATTCTTTGCCTTCTCTTCATCCAGCTCAGCTTTAATCATGCTTTTCTGTCTGTTAGAAGTGTTAAGTTGGTTTTCAAGCTTAGCATTTTGTGCATTCAAAGCGGTTACTTTAGTTTCTAATTCTTCTGATTCCTTTTCGAATCGTTGCAAAGAATTTTTCACTTCGTTTAATCTTTTTTCGGCATGTTCAAATCGACTCTTAAAGTCATCTCTCTCATGAGCAAGATTGTTACACTCATCTTCCAATGTCATACAATCCCTTGAAGTAGCATCGAGCCTGTCTTGTAAATCATAAACTTCATCGCACATGTGGCCGTACTGGTTTTCTATCTGGGAGTATTTGTTGCGTAGAGAAAAGATGTTGTTTTCTAGTTCTCCTACTTTCTGTCGAAGACGTGTTGCTTGCTGCTCAGCCTCGTTAGCCCTTTCATTTGCCTTTTCGCAGCTCGATTCAAGTGTGGAAATTTTGATACGTGCAGTAACGATTTCTTTTTCTTGGTCATCTTTGATGGCAGTTAAGTTTGCGCAAGCTTCTTCCATGTCTCTAAGTCTAGCTTCAACGTCTGTTAGGTTCCTCTCCAGTGCATCCTTTTGTTTGCTGCTTATTTCGGTAGAGACTTGTGTTTTGGAAAAGTTTTGCTTCAGTGAATCTATTCGATTTTCTAATTCTTTGTTGACGTTCTCAAATTTCTCAGCTCTTTGGGTTTTGGCTGACAATTCACTTCGAAGAAGGTCTAAATCTTTTTGGTTTTCAAGCATTTCACGTTGTAGAAGATTGTATGATTCTTTGCTTCGTTTTATCTCATCTCTTATGCTCTCAACTTGAACTTTTAAGGCGTTTCGTTGTTTGGTCACATTGTTGACCTGAGCTTCGTATTTTGCCACCTTCAAAGATGTTCCCTTTGTTTCTTTTTGTAATTCTCTCTTTAACTTGTCGTGATCAGCTTGCAAATCGTTAAACTTCGTGAGTTGTGCAAGCAGCTCTTCCTGGATGTCTTCCTTTTCTTTTTGTACAACGTGATAATTAGATTCCCATTCGACAATCTGTTCACGAATGCTGGAAAGTTCCACATCATTGCCTTGCTTTTCCAAAGCAGTTGATACAAATCTTTTACTTGATTCCAATTCTCTCTTCAGACATTCGTTTTCCTTTAATAAACCTTCTTTTTCGCTTCGAAGCTTGTTGATGATATCGGCTTTGGACTGTAAATCTTTTTCTAAAGCCTCTAACTCCCATTCTTTTTCAGCAAGTTTCCTTTGTACACGAGCAAACTCTTCTTGATACTTTTTGGAGTCGGCCCGAGAATCTTTCAGCTGCGAATGAAGCTGAGCTTTCTGACGAAGAAGCGTTTCTACCTGAGCCTGGAGTCTTTCAACCTGTAAAAATTATTAACTTTTAAAAAACCCAGACAAATATGTGTACAAAATCAAACTTGAAATATTTTCTTCTTGATACAGGTAACTGCAGGTACATAACATAAACACAAGGAACTAGGTAACTTTCCGGACAGAATTTAAGCTCATTCCCACTAGGAAATTGGCACTTTATCACTGACACTATATGCACATGAATCTTGTTTAAAAGTGTTAATGAATACTTGGCTGTAATCGAAAGCCGTAAATTGGTTTACACGAGATTATACAACTTTTTCCATATCTGTGTTGAAAGCCTGCCATTTGTAATGGTATTCAGCCTATATGGGCTTGATTTAATTATATTAAGTTTAATGAAAAACGAGACTTTAATTATCAAACTTGATATTTCCTACTGAAGAATATCGCGAGTATATTCATTCAGTGAATCGCTAAGTATTTTCAATTAACTAACAAATCCAAAACACCTTTTATCACCAATACTAACAGCGTCTTTATGTTAATTAGAGTTATCATAGTTGCGAAACTATCACAGTTATAAAACTTCGAGAAATTCTTTTCAAATCTAATAACTGAAAAGATTTCAACCTTGTCTTACCTCAGATTTGTGCTCTCCTTTCACAGATTCCAGCTCAAACTTGAATTTTCTGTATGCCGTTTCCAGATCGTCGAACGTCTCCCTCGCTGTGGCGATTTGTTGTATGGAAACATCATCATCAGTGCTCGAGTTTTGCACGTAAGTATTCATGGTCGAGGAATGTTGTTCCCGGGAGAAACTTCCTCGCTACGAACGAGGTTTAGAAACCTCTACTGACAAGTACTAAACCTCTACAAAGACTATGATTTCCCAGCTGTCGCACACAATTTACAAACTTCACAAGATGTGTGTCTAAGTACTCCAAATCGAATGCTAAGCCAGAAGTCCCCAGAGGCTAGCCGCAAAAGCCTTCGGGCTATCTTTGTTGTGACAGCATTGGCCAATTACAGTGAAGTAATCAATAAACTATGCGCTGAAAACTGTTAGTTCGTTATTTTTGTTTTCCGCTTTGAACCAATGCGATTCGAAAAAAGTTATTATCAGACCGGCAGTACGTCTTGGCGTGGCTGGCATCACAACTCCAAACCAACAGACTTAGAGCCTTCTCGAAACTAGCAGACAAATACGGCAGACCAAAAGCATTTTTGACAGTTTACTTAAAATTCACGAGCTCATGTTAAGGAAACAATATAGTTATTCAAATAAAAATCCAATCAAAATTCCATTCTTTTGTTCATTAAGAGGATGCATTCTTTGATTTGAGAGAATAGTAGAATACCGTCAGGTTACTTTGATGTTATAATGCTGATTTGTTTGGACTAAATTAACAGATACGTATTGCTGGTCACCAATTATGAAATAAAAATTGATAATTATAACCACGTTGAAAAAAACTCAGTAAACATGGCATATCTGGTTTTTCATAAATATTTCTGAAAATGATGCCAAATTATTTTTGTCTCACATATCTTAAGCTCGTGTAAAAAGCTCTTTTGGGGCGAAATAGTTTTCAAATTTTGATAAAATTTATTATTAATTTTTTAAACAAGGCTAAGTTAGAAACCCTTGATATCTAAGATCTCTAGATAAGAGTGATTTGTTCAAAATGTTTTAATAGGTGGGATGAGAATAGGCTTGCACTTGGAAATTTTGTGCAGCTTCATTATGTCATAGTTTTTTCTAGAAAACCACGACGCTACGAAACAACATGTAGTACGAAAATCACGCAACAACACATCAACCTGGGTAAAGGCTGCGTCATTTAACCTGCATTACATTACTAACGATTTCCACTGTTTTGATGCGAAAGAGAATCATGAGTAAAACGAAGACATATTCTGAGTCATAATTGTTTAAGGTCTACTGAAATGTTTGAGAAGAGTATATTCAGTAGCAGCATTTGCAGCTTGGCAAAAAAAAAAAAAAAAAAAAAAAAAAAAAAAAAAAAA